GTGGCTTCTCTTGTTGCGGAGCATGGGCTCTAGGCACGCGGGCTTCAGTAGTTGTGGCTCGTGGGCTTCAGTAGTTGTGGCACACAGGCTCAGTAGCTGTGGCTCACAGGCTCTAGAGCACAGGCTCAGTAGTTGTGGCCTATGGGCTTAGTTGCTCCGTGGCACATGGGATCTTCCTGGACCAGGGCTCAAAGCCGTGTCCCCTGCACTGGCTCAACCACTGAGCCACCAGGGAAGTCCAGCCACAGTGCAGCTTTTAAGCGGTAGACCCCGCACGTGGACGCAGGCGGTCTGGCTTTAAAATCCACATGGCCGACCACCGTGCAACCCAGTCCACAAAGTTGTCACGTTTTTTCAAACTCAATTAAACAAAAAAACCTCTGATCTATATAACCAGCACCTCCAGATATGTGCTCAGGCCCTGGTATCTCCAACAGCCTCCGATATGAGCAGAAGTCATTCCCTTCTCGTCTGCCTTGCCCTCTCCCCTCTCCAAGGAAACTTAAAAGTTAAAACAATTTCTTAAAACCCCCCCACCAGTACAGGAGGGGCTTGCTTCTTGTCAGGACCATGAGAACAAAGAAGAGTTCCCTCTCTTGCCCCACAGTCCTCCCAAGTGCAGAAGGTCCTTCCCCAATACTGATGAGTGAATAAAGACACGGCTCTGGGAGCAGCCGTGCTGCCACACAGGCTCCCGTTCACTTTGATCGTCTGTGTCTCTCTCTCCCGGCCCTCGGGGCCCCTATGGCTTGTCTCTTCCTGCTTAGGGGATGGCGGTACTGTGTTACCCAGGTATGTTTTGTCTGTACAGTTTGATTGGACTTTGTTATTTTGAATGAACAGAGGAATCTCAAAGTAGCCTCCTGACAGAATCAATGTTCTTGATGATGGATGTGAAGAGTCAACGCTCTTTGTACAATAGGAAAATCATCAGATTTTGGCACGCTGCTGGGTGAGCCCGGAAGAGAAAATGAAAAAAAACCCTCATTAGGTTTGAAACCGAAAGCATCTCAGGCAATCCTCAAATGGTGTAACAGAGAAGTTAAGACCATATTCTAACTTTGCAAAAGTGAACAACAGCCCTGTTGTAGAAGGCAGAGCTACGGCAGGTCCAGTTTTAAATGAAGTTCCCTGCCAGCTAAGGAAATCTGCTTTATAGACGTTTAGTTTCCCTTTTTCCCTTCTACTTGTAATAGTTACAAGACTTTTAAAGATTTGCTTCCTTTAAATGATATTTAAATAGCTCTGGAGAGATAATTAAATATTTAGATTTAATTTCACAGGAAATGAGGGCTCTGCTGGGCATTAAGTTGATGATGACATGACGATATAGTACCAGCCTCATCAGGAACTGTGCTTTTTAAAGCATCCTCTAACACAGAACCAAAAGCCCTTTAAGTCATATAATGTAGCCACCAAAATTCATCCTAAATCCTTTTGGAAGATCCAATCTGTTTGCTCAGAACTCTTCCCGCTAGAGACATCTCTGAACATCTGGACATCTCTGAAATGCTATCTAAACTCTCTTACTCATTTGAAAAATCTAACCTCCAAATAATTTATGAAATTCACTCCACCTCCGTAGCATACAGGAGAAGATTCTCCACCACTGAAAAGGCTACAGCATATAGGATACCAGCCAGATTACGGCTGCTAAAAATGAGACGTATAGAACCTTTCAAAATCAAGACAGTCCAGGTACAGCCACCCATGAATATATTCTAAGCAAACATTTTCCTGTGCTGTCTCAACCACCTAATCACCTATGTCCGTGTGTGCATAGGTGACACTCATTAACATGATTTCTAGAGAAGAAAATAAAGGACTCCTCTGAAACAACACCTGTATTTCCAATCTTCCCTAACTTTAAAAGATCTGAGCCTTTGCCACTATTGGCTGATGAATATATTTCCAGGGAGGGGGGAAGGAGTAGAATGCTGGAGATCAGAGAGAGAACAAGCACACCGTCTTTGCTATCAAAACATTATTAAATTCATTCCTTTGACATTCTGACAGTAATTGCACTGAGAGGGATTGGATTTTGTTAAAATTACTTTAAAAGGGTTGTTGAGAATTTCCTGTGGGAGGGACCAGCGAGCGATGCACAGCCTTTGCTGGCTTTCCCTTTGTTGTCCTCAAAGCTCCAAGCTCGGTGCACATCTGATTTCTGACAGCACGAAACCCTTGTAATAACACCTTGAGTCTCTTGGAAAGCTCTCCCCCGGGTTCTGTCTTCTGCCGTGACCAGCTGAGTGGGTAACCCAAGCTGATTCATTCGCGAGGTTTCTGCCTTTGTCATCTTAGTCACCAAAGACAGAACCAGAAGCACTTACGACCATCATTTTCCTAATAACGGCAGAGCTCTGACACGGCAGGTTACACAAGGGTATTGTTGGAAAGAGCCAAAAATAGCATTATTCACTTAAAATTTCTGAATGTTCCCTTCTTTGCTGATCAAAACTCAAAGAGTTCTAATGAATCGTGATTTCGTGACAATGTGTGTGACTAAAAATATGTACAAGGAGAGGTTTTCTTACCTTAGTGAGAAAAGGATGTGCCTGAATGGGGCCTGGCCAAGGCTGGCTCCCTCCCCCCAGTGCCACCCCTCTGCCCCTGAGCCCGGGACCTCCCCACAGTGTCCTCCTGAGCCCGGGACCTCCCCACAGTGTCCCAGATTCAGGCACACAAGGTAGAGCATCCCCCGGTGCCAATCCCATTGGTTAAGTTAAATGAAAGAAGCCACTTATAAAAGACCATATATTGTTTCCATTTATATGAAAGGTCCAGAATAGGCAAGTTCATAGAGACAGAAAGCAGATTAGTGGTTATTACCGGGGGCTGCTGGGAGGGCTGGGAATGGGGGGTGACTGCCAATGGGTACAGGGTTTCTTGTTTGGGGTGATGGAAATATTGTAAAATTAGACGGTGGTGATAGTTGCACAACTCTGTGAATATACTGAAAATGACTGAATTGTACGCTTTAAAATGGTGACTTTTATGGTATGTATCTCAATACAAAAAATTTTAAACGTATGTGTGTGCATATATATATAATTCCTTGATCTTGCTTTTGTAAATGAGAATCAAACATGAGCCCTAATTTTTCTCAACAACCCAGAGTAATTATGAATTATAACTCCATGAAGGAAGAACTATGCATTTATTGGTGAAGTCAACACTTTCTTGGGAGGG